CTAATAATTTATAGTTCTTATTTGTGTATTCAGATTCTAATAAAAAAGTGATTAGATTTTTGTTTGGTTATTAATTAAATCAAAGTTATATAAGTCTACTCGTATAATGTTTTATCCAAGAAAAGAAAAATCTTGCAGATTCATTTTTCTTATTGTGAGAATGAAGAGGAAATATAGTAGTTGTTTATATATGTAAATAAAGAAAAATAAGATTGGTTAGACTCATTGATTTCACCATACTATTATAAGATCAAGGTCGCTTAAACTAATTATATGTGGTATTACTAGATCAAAATAAAATAAAAGATAAATATAACTTACTAAATTACCAATTTACCTAAAAAGTAAAGAAAGAAGGAAGATATATACACGGAGGGAAGTTAGGTCCACCGTCCAAATTATGACAAACATCTTTACTTCCAAGTATCCTCATTAACATGAAAATGTTTATTGTTTCATACATTTGGCAATCATCATAATAATACTCATCTATCATTCAATAGTTAACGCGGATGGTATTTATAATAAATAAGTTATGATGAGTTTTTATTGCTGAAGAATTGAGAAAAATGCATTACGAAAAATACCAAGAGATTTTATTCAAAAAAAAAAAATACCAAGAAATTATCAAAACGATCAAATCTATTATATAATTAGGAAGTTTTCTCTCTATTTAGGGTGTCCACATAGGTAAAAATATTTTTTAAAATATTTAAAGTTTAAAATGGTCATTTACTACACACTAAATCATATTTATTGTTTTTTTATAAATAATAAAAAATAGATTAAAAAATGTGAAAGACTAAATAAAAATAATAAAAATGAAAATTAATAAATACAAATGTAACGTCCGTGAACCAAAAAATGGATTTTTGGTTGGTGCGTCGATCGACACAGGGTGATGTGTCGATCGACAAGCGTGTTTTTGACTTGTGAGAAGTCGGGTTCTGGGCGTTGCGTCGATCGACACAAGGTGTGTATCGATCGACACAGGTTAAAATTGGACTGACATGTTTGATTCAATTGCTTGGTTCGAGCGTTCGGTTTAGGGAACCCTAGGGCTCGAGTATTTAAGGGATTGAGCCGCGTTTTGTCGTGTTTTGACAGAAAAATCAGAGAGTTTGGGTGATTTTGGTGTTTGTGAGAGTTAGGTTGATTTTTGGGTTGATCTTGATCTTTGGAGGCTTGTTCTTGAGGCTATAGGAGCAGGAAAGGATCAAGGGTTGGGTTTTCGTGGATAGGAAGAGAAATCAGAGGCTGTGTAGAGCCTGCTTCGTGTGTTCTTCGTTGTTCATATTCCTTTTTCTTCCAGATTCGAGGTGAATG